CAAAGTTATACTAAAACATTCTTGATTTCACAAAGACTCGTATTATTACGGTGGCCCGTCCAAACATATTGAATGCTACCCTAATCTTAAATTATCGTACTCCACAAAATAAAACATATCACGAATCCTTAGTCATGTCTAAATCTGCGAATAAAGCCCTATCCTACCTCAGACTAGTCCCAAAGGGATTTTATTTGAGGCTTTTTGTACACATTCATAGATACCCATACTTATACCCACAGAGTAGAATATTTGTAAGAAGTACGTGTCCTGTGTATGCAGTGTGTAAGGAAAATATAGTAGATGTTCTGTGTTCTGTGGTGAAGCCGTACATATTTGGATCACAAAGCACGGACGCACGAGTCGATTTAATACGCTTATTTGAAGATAATCCCCGTCCCCTTGCAGAATACCTCGGCGATTTGCGAGACAGTTCCGTTTGCAGACATGTTTCATTAACTATATCGTAATATATCAAGCTGTGTTGGTGGTCGCCTCCAAAAAATATGACGAAGAAAATATTTGTTTTCGTAGTGACTTTTGCAACGTAGCCGCGCTACACTGGCTACGACGCTACGGCGTAGCAGCTCCTACGCAAAAATATAAAAATATTTTGTTTTCTTATAATTTTAAGCTAATAAAAAAGCAAAAAAAAAAATGTTTGAAGTAAACTAAGGGATATCGTTTTGTTTACACTACGTGTGTGAAAGTATTACAAAGTTTAAGCAAGATTCTTGATTGCCTGCCTGTTATGAAGATTGAAGTGATTTGCCCATTTCAAAATATAATCATCTATCTAACACACGACTTTTTACTATAAAACAAACAAAAAAAACATAAACCATTACCTACAGCAAAAAAACAAAGTGTTTCAGATAAAACCTTTTATTTGAAGTATTAGGTACACGTAGACAAGTACGAAACAATACAAAAACGTTACTACATACAAATAGCTTGTTATTTTCGGTTGTGTCTGTGTTTGGGGGGTGGGGGGTGTTGCGAAGTGGGGGGTGTGGGGGCTAATTACGTCCCGGCGTTGGGGGTGAGGCGGGAACGACGTTTGACTCCCTGCCTAGATAGCATGGATGTCTACGTATACGTAAGTACGTACTGTTGTAAATCTTTACGAAGCCTCTGTTTTGTTGATAGGATGGTTTAGTATTGTGTTGTGTGTTTATTTATTTTCGATTTTTGAGATGTGTTCATTTGGGTTTAGTTTTGTTTTAGGAGTGTTACATTCAGTAGTACTGGATGAATAAAACGATTTTATAATTTTGTGTTAGGATTTTATGAAGTCAAAAAAACAATAAGACTTTATAGTCATGAACTAATTCGCACGTATGTTTTTGCTTCCACTTGAATTCCAAAAACAATCATGAAAATTTATAAACCACTGTTAGCATGTGTAAATATGAATATTTAATAATACTTAGTGGATGCATTATACTTTTTCATAGTGGGATATCAAACGTTATTTGAAAGCACCTACTAACCACAACCACATTAAAATACCTCCAATAGAGTATTAAATAAACACATTACATAAAATAAAACTATAATACCCTCTTCAAAACCCCACTCGAGCTAATAATATTTTCTAAGAAGCAACACGTATGCTTCCACATGATACAAATGTAAAAAAGAATCAGTATCGAGACGCAACACTTGAATAATCACTTATTTTATTAGGGCGAGATATTATTCATATTTTTTGTTGTACCAATTGTGTAACAGAAAACTCGAGGCGCTCCATTCAAGCACCTACTGTAACTCTATACAAATTGGCACCTCCATTGAGGTCGGTTGACACTTTTATATAACCACGATTAACAGTCAAACGAAATTAGAACCCAATAATATTATTAAAAGTTTTTTCTTCTTTAAACGGGACAATAAAGGTCCCCCTTCCCAATGACTTGTGAATAGGTAATGGTAACTCGGATTACCACCTACGTATTTGTGTAAACACAATAAATATTTTTTGGGCTCGCCCTTTATCTGCTAAGTGCAGATCGAGAGATATTCCTCAGTGTTTAAGATACATGTAAAGATAAAGGCTCAGAACAATTATTTAGTTTGAAAGCAGGAAGAGGATATTTGAGTCACGATAAGAGTAAACTCACTTTACAATCTTTGCAATAAACTCTTGAGGCTTTGCCCACACTCAGTGGAGAAATTCTAAATATTATGGAGCCGATTGTGTTGCAATATGACACGATGTAACATAATTTATATCGATTATCTCGAAGCTACTCAAAAATACAGTTTTAAGTTCACTTTCTTAGGAAGTAGATCTAATAATATTTTTGGATTATAAGCAATAAATAAGAGTCAAAATATGCGTAATTATAAGCGTCTTTTATCTGCTTGTTCAAGCATGAAATGTCAAATAAATGCTTTTTCTTTCTTTCTTTCATGAACCTGAATGATTTGAGTCATTGGTATAGAAAATATTTGTATAGATCAGCTTAACAATAGGGGTCAGGAAATAACCAGTTTGGTCTGTTAGTAAGGGGATTTAAATGGTTTTTAAATAATAGGAGATTTTAATCTTTATTAGGATCATCACTTAAATGAGTCATGGAGAGAAAATATACCTAAATATGGTAAGAATTGTGAGAATGTGAGTGAAGCTCCTTTTCGCCTATTCTCAGCAATGCGACAGTTATGATAATTATACCACAATGAGAGAAGTAATCAATCATTTGATTTTGACCAAAGCAAAAATTATTTACCTAGACCGCATCATCGCTTACCACAAGGCGAGATAGTAGTCAGACGTCGGCCCATCAAATATAAAAAAAACTAAGATAAAAGTTAATACGTACAACGTGTGAACTAATTGATTAAAATATAAGAAAAAGTCCACAATTGTTCTCAATCACTTATAATCGAAAGGTAAGTGGCACCATAATAATTAATGCAGAGCAACTGTTGTGATTGAATTAACCACGGTCGAGCGCACAGCGCACTTCCCCCGTGGACAATAGTGTTGTGGTAACTAAGCGCGAGGATTAACCGACGTTAAGTGGATTAGCACATGGTGCGCCCGGCCCTTCCGACCGCCATTGTAACGACACTTGAGCTTATGCTACCGAGAACTGATTCGCGAAATCGGGAATCTATTAATAAATATTACGATTCTTTGCACCTTTTTTTTCGATATACCTCTAATATTTCGTTCAACAGGAAACCGTATGGCCGTAATTGATATAATTTTTGCCTTGTCAAAATATCCGGTCATGATTCTTCTGTCGATGTTTTGTTTAAATGTGTATTAGGTATAGGTATTGATACTTACTTAACTACTATAAAGATTTTATAAATATAAAAATCAATTTAGATTACAACGACTCAGTATTGGTGGTGGTATGCATTACAAAAATGTGGTGCTGGCCTCGAGGTTTAAGACGCCCGCTTCTCAAGCACGAGGGCGCGGTTTCGAAAGCTACCAACAGCAAGTACCAATGTGAATTTTTCCGAGTTATATGTAAGTACTTCCTAAGATTATCACTGACAAACGCTATAGGAAAACATCGTGAGGAAACCTGGACTTATAATTTCTAATTATAAGTTTGAAATCACCAACCCGCATTGAGCTAGCGTGGTGATTAATGTTTAACCCTTTTCCGTGCGAGAAGAGGCCTTTGGTCAGTAGTGGCCACTTATACGCTGTTGATTGACAATGACTATGATGATGACTCAATATTAACTTTTTCATTATTTTGAATACTAGTTTGGTTTTCAATTATGCTACTGAAAAGATGTCTAGTTTTTAACATAACACATAACATAACATCCCAGGCCTTTCATCCCAGGGGGTGAGGCTATTGCCATATATACCAGGCACAATTCCAGACTCCGTGCTACTACTGAGATTTTATGAACAAGCACAGTAATACTTGCCCGACCTGGGAATCGAACCCGAGACCCCTTGCCTGGTAGTCGCAATTGCGACCAGTCGGCCAACGAGGGAGTCTAGTTTTTGCATATTGGAAATAGATCCTATGATAATTCTACAGTTTAATATTGATATAAGACTGCAATGGAGTAGACTAGACACGAAAACTAACTTATAATTTCCCCGATTTTACCACAAAAATATCACGACAATTTACTACAATTTACTCATATTACTATCATTATTAAGTACACACGAATAGTTCAATAGATCACACTCATGGCTCTTCCCCATAAATGGCGGAAGCTCTTGAGTGGTCAACAGAGCATACTTCACTTACCATGACAAGAGAGGGACACAGTCACCGTGAATGGGGTACCATTGTCCCAAAGCTACTGTTTCCACAATAAGTAAATACTTCATAAATATTTAACGGTTTTATTGTTCGCTTTTTTTGCTATTTGAATGTGTAAGCTTATTGTGCTGTGTTTAGGTTTGCTTTGCTTTGATTTATTGATCACATTTTATTTAATTCCTTATTCGTTATTGAAGGATAGACAACATTTGTAATAACTAAAATCGCGGAAAAAATTGAATTACTTGAGACCTTTGTCTTGAGATTATGAATTTCCGTGTTTAATTTATTTTAACGTGAATGTTTTTTTATGGGATAAGCCGGTAAACGAGCAGACGGATCACCTGATGGTAAGCAATCGCCCATACTTCGCCCATGGACACCTGGAACACCAGTTATATATGCGTTACCTTTTGGGATTAGGAATTTGAGGATTGTTGGGGATTCAGGGATTGGGGAAGGGGGGGCGGGGGTAATTAGGCCTCCGGTAACGTCACTCACACGACAAAACCCTTCTGTAAGGCCGTGGCGAGGCCTAACAGAAGACGATGATGCCGGCCGTGCCTTCCAAGTTCTAACGTACATTTTTATAGAAAAGTTGTAGTGGATGATCAACTGTACGTTTGTCCTTAATCCATGAAAAAACACGGATATCCTAATCGAAACTAATGAGTATTTCATTGTCTCCTAAATCGTATATTATCCTTATTAACAATCAATGATTGGACCACAAATGATGTAACAATGTCCAAACCAGATGTGCACCGTGTACAAATCAAACATTTTCAAGTCACACATGTAAGTATGTACTTTCTAAGAACGAATACAACAACACGCCTCCAAGACCGTCTAATTCAATTACAGTGCTATTGTCCTCAAAGTTTTTGCTCTCAAACATTTTATACAGCCACAATGGAGTTATTTTGCCAACAATAACTGTATTCCACGGACAATACTGTCGACATTCGGACACGATGACGAAAGAACAATTCACAGATGAGTTCAGAAGTACAAGTAAGTAAGTATAAGATGTAGAAAAAAATTAAATAGAAATGATAGAATAGGATAGTCGCCTAATTTTAATTTTAATGTCCGTCTGGTAGATTGTTTTAAATCATTAGACACGTATTTTTTATTTTCTTACAGAAACGAATACTTTCGACGATATATTGATTTAAAATGTCGCGTGACGTCACTTCTATGTACATTTTATACATAGAAATGACGTTTTAGCCCCCAATCCTAAACTTTGATTCGTTTTATCTAATTATTGTTTTATTAGACGACAAAATAAAATATACGTGTCTAATATTTTTTCATTACCTAAGTTACGGACTAATTAGATTTATAATTTTCATACCCTGTTATCATCCCACTTCTAAGATGATTGATGATGATGATGCTCTTTAGTACTCTAAGAACTACGATCCAGTTTCACCGTTCACTCCATACTATTCGATTGGAAGAACCATATTTTGGAACGAGTGGGACAGTTCGACCGGTGCGATACCTGTCTGTCTTTGATACCTCAAAGAAAATCGGCATGAATCTACGCTTGTTTTTTTGTTTCAACGTGTGAGTGAGGGGACCGGGGGCCTAATTGTGGCCCTGCAAAGGCTGGTAAGGTAGTAAATCCTCTGGTTTTGTGGGTATCCAAGTGTGGCACTGATAGCGATTGGCATACGTGCTGCTTGTTTGCCCATTATCCCATAAAACTGCTAAGAAAGACATAATTATAGCGAAAAGTAGGTGGTACAATTAAAATACGCTGACCGCATCGCATGTCTTCCACGGGAATAAAATAACAATATTGTACTTATTTGAATAAAATGTGTATACAAACATTAAAATTATAAATTATTGAACTTCTATAATTCCCTGCGCAGTGACAGTTGTCAATATTTTTTTAACACTTAAAAGTAACTGTTCATGAAACATGAATTGTATTTATACGTGAAGTGTTTATCATGTCCTGTTCCAGATACGATCTTAATCTCGGATTAGTGAGGCGTTAGGACGCATTGTTACCTTTGGTTAAGTGATGGCACCACCTATGCGGGACAATGCTGCCATTCAGTGGTCAAGTTACTCCCACGTGTCAGAACAACGATTAGAGCAATCTTTGTTAGCCATCGTGTTTCCGGACCTATTTAAAAGATGTTTTTATTATGCCTTACTAATTTTTTTCATTTATTATACATTTCATACCAGAAAAAATAATTGTTTTTGTATTTATTTTTGGAGGCAATGAGCTTTTATGCTTCATCATAATCTTCATAGTGTTTGCCATTTTGTCATCATTTTAAACATAGCCTCTCTTTCCTTGCCTAGCCTTTCTAACCTAGCTAACTCTTTCTTTTCTTGTATATTTTGCATTTTATCGTTCTTAGAGTATTTTTGGTTAAATACTCTAAGTTATCTTTAGCTATAGTCACAAAAAAAAAAGTGGTATCAAAATGTCAATGTCATTGTCATTTTCAGTTTCTAAAAAATCGTAAATAAGTTGGGTACGGTAATTGTAAGTAAACGACTAAACTAATAATAAAGTAATGACAACCTTATTAAGATTGTTGTATTTCTATAACCGCTCAACAAAATATGCAGTAGCATCGTTGTTGTTGATTATTGTGCTCGTATTTTTGTGGCGGTTTAACAGAAACATACCGCCGCCGCTGGTCTCAAACAAGTACATACTGTCGTGGCAATTGTACGTTATGATTCAAGACGAAGACGGATCGTCACTGTTCCCAAATTTACAGTGTCGAGTAAACAACTGCATATTCACACATGATAAGAATTTTTTCGGCGGAGACTACTCTCAATTCGACGCTGTATTGTTTTTTGACAAATCTTTGAAACTCGAAGAGGAACATCTTCCAATAAATCGGACCAGCTCACAAGTATACGTATTCGGAACAGTAGAGTCTTCATACAACTATCCAGCTTGTGAGACCTATTTTGACGACTTCTTCAACTTGACGGTGACTTACAGACTCGATTCAGACATTAATTGGCCCTACTTTTTAGTACGCGACCTGACGGGTCAAGTCTTGGCTCCAAAAGTCGACGTAAAATGGCCAGAGCAGAGTAATGTATCGATAAGTTCAAATATAGTTGATATTTTAGCCAAGAAGAAGAGAGCTGCTGCTTGGCTGGTGAGTCATTGTCAAGCGGACAGCTTGAGGGATGAGTACCTCACGCGACTCCAGGAGCATTTATACCACTTTTCTCTTGAAATTGACGTGTTTGGTTTATGCTCTAACATAAAATGCCGATATGGTAGCTGTTCAGAAATGTTCACTAGGGATTACTATTTCTACATGGCATTCGAGAATTCCTTCTCTGCAGATTACGTCACTGAGAAGGTGCTCCACGGGTACGATAATTACGCGGTCCCCATTGTGTACGGCGGCGCTAATTATACCAGGTAAGACGTATTTATCATTTTGTATTATCTAAGGATGAGTAATAAGTAGATGCTATTTTTTTTAAATAACGTCTTAGCATAGGGAAGGTATATTTTTTAGTTCAGTTAGGTACTTGCTTAATTACTCTTGTTCTATATATTTCTTGTATATTTACGTGTGTAAACACTGTAAACTGTTGCCTTATAATATTTAAAAAAAAATCTTCCAATACTTCATGAAATGAAAGCGCAGTAGCAACAATTTTTTATAAAATATCTATTTCTATATTGTTCTAAGAACAATATCATTAAAGGTCCAAAACCAAATCACAAGCGTAACAGCTTACCGAAATATATGAGATTTTCGTAACTATCATTTCAGTATTATCTATCTGTTACACAATACCAATTGTAACTTTGTCTTCAGATTCCTTCCCCCTGGATCCTACATTAACGCCCATGAGTATCATCCGTACAACTTGGCATATATCATGCATCAAGCTATAAAGAACCCATCGATATACTACCAGTACTTTAAGTGGAGGAACTATTATACGATAGACTCGGGCCCACCGGGCTCCCACGCTCTTTGTAAGCTTTGTGAGGACTTAAACACAGAGGGAAGAGAACCTAAGAGTTATAGTAAGTTCAGGCTTTGGTGGAATCTACCTAACGGCATGAAGTGGTGCTTGCCACAGTCATTCTGGAATGAAATGACTCTTGTCCACGTCGATAATAGCCACGTCATCAGTATGTACTGAATATTGTAATTAATTTATTATTATTTTGTATTAAGGCTTCTGTTATTCAGGAAGATTTATCATATAGAAATAGAATATATTATGTAGAATAAAAATAAATAAATGAAATATTTTGTGTTGTTATTCGATGATAAAAAAATTGATATTGGTCAGGCACAAAAGCCAAAGAAAAATTGAAGCAGCAAGTCTTTCCATTAAAACAATTTGCCGCTAGGTATGTCGTGGTGGCCCGGAGGTTTAAGACGCCCACTTCTCATGCATGAGGGTGCGGGTTCGAAACCTACCAACGGCAAGTACCAATGTGACTGTTTCCGAGTTAGGTATATGTACTTTCTAAGATTATTTAGACACCACTGACAAACGGTAAAGAAGTGAGGAAACCTGAACTTATAATTTCTAATTATAAGTTTGAAATCGCCAACCCGCATTGAGCAAGCATGGTGATTAATGCTCTAACCTTCTCCGTGTGAGAAGAGGCTTTGCTCAGCAGTGGGCATTTATAGGCTGTTGATGATGATGATGATTAAGACATCACGAAACAACATTATACGAACCATTCTCAATAGGAAAGCCTTGTGTACAACTATTACAAATATTAAACCAACAGTACACATCAAATCTTTAGCTCAGATCAAATCTCCCTCACGCAAGAGATTAAAGAAACCCCATCAACTTGTAACTATAGGATTTCATAGAAAGCGTTAGCGATAGTTTTGTAATCCCCATACAATAACAGGCCGTTATTAATTTCGTATCGGTAACAAAAGAACATGTTGCTACAAATATTAGTAGAAAAGACGGCGCAGTAATTAATGTTAGAGTCGTATTGGTTGAATCCCGTCGTTAGTCCCGAGGGAGGCGCGGCAAATCGCCGCCGACACAATACGGTAGTTAGGGAGGGCCCTTCCCTATCGGCCGACGTTTAACGAGCAAATTATTTAGTAAATGTTGCCAAATAATAACATTAATGCGGACGAGGGGCGCACTAGTTGCAGGACTATAGGACCCGTCGATGGCTGCACAGCTCACTGAACACTGCTTCTGTTTCGGTAGGTTAGTGTGGAAGTAGATGGAAAGCCTTTTAAGATAAAAATACCAAATATGGTGGCAATACCAATAGCACACCCACCATACTAACCTACAATTAGGAAATATGAGAGAGTTCTATTTGAATCTAAAAAGTTAATTGTTATCTACCTAAATGCCTTCGAAGTATCTACATATAAATAGTTAATTTTATTAGCCTTCAAAACTTGCTGGAAAATTATAAAGTATCATAGACAAAATAATACTCAAATCACAAATACCACAAACGACGTTGAATAAAGCACATCCACCAGTAGCTATTGATAAAATCTCAACAATCTAAATATTTGATGGTGTGCAAAAATAATGGTGATGTCCACAAAGGCTGGTTGTCACCCGCGCCGAGGGTGGTCGGCCCCTCGTCAGCCAATAAGAGGCCGCGGCCCGAGTACCAGCGCAAACAGCCACGATCCTGAATGCCACATAATTGAGTGGCTCCTCGACTCCGCTCCACTGATCCATTGTCAACGCCATTAAAGCAATTATGAGCTAAATGCTCGCGAATTAATGATGGTTTTATAGATGTTTCACGCTTCATGGCCTCTTTTAAGTTCGTCAAGTTACAGTGGCATTTGTTTTAAAGTTATCAGTTCGTGGTTAGTGCTTAAAGTTAGTAGATTTTACAAATCTGCTATACTATATACCTCAGTAAGGAGATTTCTACTTATAACTGGTGAAGAGTTGATCTATTTCATTGGGATAAATGGCTAGATGTAACTATTGTATCTATACAGAATACAGATAATTAAATTGGAGTTTGTTTCTAATATCGAAATAACCGCTTTTTACTACATGCATATGAATATTAATTTTTGTCTTTCCGTCTGTCTGTTTGTACTGGCTAATCTCTGAAATGGCTGGACCGATTTTGACGTGAATTTATTGGCAGATAGCTTACTAGGGAGTAACATAGCCTATTTTTATTTTGATAAACCGAAAAAAAAATGTCTTAAAACTCATATTCTACGCCGTCGAAGTCGCGGGCGACAGCTAAGTAGATGTTAAATAAAAGTTAATGAAGTGACACAATACATTACACTACAATCTAAATTACTTTAAAACAGGCATTACAACAGCCAGACACTAGAGAATAGTTAGAGAATATAAACCGCATAGCTAATTGGCCGCAGCGCGCGCTAAACATTTACTCGTAAACTAAACATAATAACGTATTCAAAGCGCGCGGTACATTTGCCGACATTTTACTGTGCCCCCCAACCAACCCCTACCAATGGTGCTGAAAAGCGAGGACTAGTTTCACGTAACCAGACAACTATGATGATTCTCTTCAGATTTGAAGAAAACCTCGTAATACATATCTAATGTGAAGTAGGTCGACGTATCACGAGCAATATGAGGTGGAGAATGCAGACTTTATAGGCCTCGTGATGGACGCTATCAGAGACTATGTTCCAAATGAACTTTTTTTAATATAACTTGAGTTATTTGTATGGGTTTTATTATGAGAATTGGTTAATTCATAGTGAGCGTTGTTTCAAGTACAGATTTTTGTCAATCTTAGTTCATATTCAGATTGTCGACTTACGAATTTATTATTGGAATATTATCGAAGATATAGCGCAATAACTACCTACTCTACGTTTATCTAAATTTTCCTGCCACATCTTTCTGAAAAACAATGTTTTACTAAAACGAAACTCAAAATACATCAAAGACGAACAGAGTACGTACCAACGTAACTCGTACCACTGTCCCTCGAGACTCGAAGTCCCCGCAAACGGAATGGATAATTCAATAACCGGCGGAACGCGCCACCTAATCCTCAAATTAGCAATACGATATGAATAAATAGATTTTGGTCGAACAAAGCAGGTGCCTTGGGAATACGTGGTAGGGGACACGGCGGTGTTTAGCGAATCATTAGTTTTGCTAATGAAGGGTTGCGTCAATACCAATGTCATTTGAAATAGGGTTGTATGCAACGTACTGTTTAGCGGAGATCGAAGTTATGCATTCTTTTGTCTATTTGAAAAATCAATGTAAAATGTACAAATATCTAAACGAGTTGGAATACGAATCGAGCCTTTTCCTTAGCTGAAACTTTGTACTATGGTCGTATGAACGTAATGTACCACACAAATACAAACCGTAACAGAACATACAGATATTCAGATAGTCTTCAATATTGTCTATTGTCACATATCAAGATCTTACATAATGAAAGCTTCCACGTACATTAATGGAGTAACTAACATAAACAGATAGCAATCTAATCTCATTGTTGCAGTGACGTCAATTATAACAGATACATTGAACGGCGCAGAGATACGCCAATTAGGCGAGGTACAGGAAGCTGGCGCGCGTGCGCCCACCCTAATTGTTTCCGACATAGTCTTGCCACCCACTTCCACCCTTACATGTCAAATTAATGTGCAGAATTCCCACTTTATTACAAGAGAAAGAGAAACCTTTATCAATAAACACGGCATGTCCTTGGTTTAGAATCAGAATCTTCATCTTTTATTTTATTTTATTCGAAAGAGTACGGCCATATCACAAACATATAACGTTCAAAATACACAACAGTAACAAAATAAAGGTCTGATGCATGCGACAATAATGGCGTACATAGCACTGGCAATTCATAGGCTTAACAGTGGCTTAAAAATAAAATCCAATTTGAGAATTATGGAAAAGAAAATAACAACAATAATCCACACCATACACACATTAAAATGAGAATTTAACAAGTTCAATTTTTTATTTAATTATTAGATATATGTCTGATTAAAACAAAACAAATTAACAACAAAAATTAATTAGTATCTATGCCATATTAAGTCTAATAATAATAATTTAATACAAATATAATATAATAAAATGTCAAATTATCGTCAAGATTTCAAAGAAATGTCAATTAAATCAGAATCAAAATAATTTCAATGATTTAAAGAAATGTCAGAGTCCAAAACAGATGTCAAAGTATCATCAGCAGAATTTTTCTCAGAATGTTTGTTAATAATGCCCTGTGTAAATAATGATTAATTATCATTTAACATTTTAAATTTTTTGTCTATTTCAATTTGAGTAATTGATAATCGACCAAGCATCAGCTCATACTCCAGTATCAATTAGTTGTAATAAGCAAATGCTTTGTCTACTATGTCAATAGGAATATGTGAAATTTTTTTACCGTTTTGCACAAATGAGTAGATATTTTCATTCCTGTAATCGCGCAACAAGCATAGGGTACGGAAAATCTACAATACAACAAGCAAAAAGTAATTAAAGATTAGTCGCAATGGTACTTCTAGTTTATACCTCTACTGCAGCTGGTAGTCCCGCCCGCCTCCCGTAGCTCCGGGCGATAACAAGGAAAGGAATATCAGAGCGTAAAGCTGGAACTGCACGATGTTTTCACAGTAACAGTACGTTTTAAGTACCACTGCATTCACATCGGAGTCACTCTACCATGCCCCACTATTTCATTTCTCACAATCGGAATTTGTTCTTTCCGTGTTGTTGAATTTGCGCTCTGAGTATTGAAGTAGTTAAGTTTTGAACTTCATGTACTACTACGGATGAAAGTTCAATGAGAAAAATTTTGATTGCAAGATTGTCATCTCTTTATAGGGCATTGATTTTATTATTTGGTAGTTTACCGACAGTAGTTAACATAGGTATGTAGATGTATTTGCCAGGAGGGTTCAGAGCACAGCTGCATATTGTGTTAAAGTAAAATCTAAGTTTATTATGTGACTGTTACTTAACAATATTAAAGGCAAGTCTACGATACATTGAATTCCTATTTCAAAAATAATTCTTTAGGTATAATTCGTCGAAAACACCCAATATTACATTCACTACCAAAATACCTTTGTCACACACGCATAAAACAGCATTGTTCCCTAAAAGCACTTCACGATATCAGTGTACAGTGGAAGCCACACAAAATATCAACATTTTTCGACGATGCAACTTGACACTCTGGTCATCCGGAAGCAATCGGGCGCGATGCACTAAATGCATGCAATTGTACGCGCCACGTGCCGCCTCGTGTCGACCAGTACTAAAGAGACGTACAAATGCGTGCCGAATTACTGACGTTTCTATTATAGTTGTACGCGAACGATTTACGCTTGTTAGGCATCAGTTAATTATGTTCTCAGTGAATGGGCAATTGTAATCATTGTTAATACTTAATCTGTACTTGTAATCATTTGCTTGCGATAAGTTCTGTTGCAGTTGTTGTTAGAATCTGTTAGACTAAATAGAAATAATGTATTTCGTAGTCAACTAAAAATGAGTATTAGTTACTCACGTAGGTAAATATACTGAGAATTTATGTTTTATTGGCCTGATTTTTTACTGGCCAATAGGCTGCGCGACATCGCACGCCGCTCACGAGGAAGAATCCTCGAAACTAGTTGAGCTTTTCTCAATACATTTACGCGAATAACTCGTAATTTGTAGTTAATTCAGCATGTCTCACGTTAGTTATTATAAAAAACATTTCGTAGTTAAGTATTCTTAGTTAGTCATAAGAATAGTAAGTAACAGAGATTTATGAAAAGATTTACTCCAAAAACAACTGTCTACGTGTGAAACCCATCATCAAACAAACATCTTCTATATTGAAAATATGTTAACTTTTATTAAACGCGCCATTCCTTATACCACAAAGAAATGGCTCATAATATATTAACCATCCTATATAATTAAGTAGATGTTCATTGTTGCTGAATTTGATGATTAAAAGCAAAAACACAGCGGTTTTATAATTCATTAAGTCTCTGTGATACTGTAGAGTGCCATTAATAATGCTCTTTGATTTCATAGTAGGTACTAAGTGCCGCGCCTGGCCGCGCCCGTCTCGCGCCTGCCAGTGATCGAACAGCTTCAAACAATAACTACTAAAACTTTTGTTTAAATAATTTGTAGAACTCTTAAACTTATTCTGATTTATCTATTTTGCAATGGTCTGAATACCCAATTTAAATTGTGTTCAATTGGAACTTATTAGGTTTTACGGACGGTTAGATTCGTCTTCCAATCGTCATGCATTCGTCAATAGCTTTCACCATGCAGTTACGTCAACAGTAGCCCTAACAGATGACAGATTACCAAGACAGGGTTATAAAACTCTCAATACTTTGTCTGACATAGAGATCGAATCTAGAATATCGTGATAAACAAAGACCAATAAATAAGGAAGAGTTGTACTGTACTATACAATTACATACAACGACAATGACCTACTGCGAGAATAACCTACAACACACTCACTTATTATTGACAAAACATTTTTTATGAAACACGCAACCCTTTCATCAAACTCAATCCTCGTAGATCCACTCTCTAGAGATTGCTTAATATCAGGAACATTCGGTGTAATATCAACGTAATACAAACTATGAGTGAAATGGGGAGGACTCACGTCGCAGGGTGAAAAGGGGGAGAGGGGAAAGGGGACGGGGTAATAGTTCATCATCCGATAATAGCGGGATTAACACGAACCAACCCTTTGTGGGCGGCTTGTAAAACTTCACCAAAACATTTGTCCGCACTGATTATAAATTATTCGTCCTACATTAAATATTCACATTGTGAATACGTTATTGGTTGGCTTATTGCCTCTCTTTACCCACAAAATGTGTGATTTTATCATATAAATATGAAATTCACGTTACATTTTGCTTTCGTGTTTTGTTTCTGTTTTTGTTTATATTTTGTTGTTGCAATGCTGGGTTTTGCTTTTTGTGGATTTGATTTTTGGCTTCCAAACTAAGCTTCGTTTAAGTTTCATCTTTTCTCATACGACACGTGACCATCTCTTTCACCTATTAAGAATCACTCTGAGACTTTTATAGTCATTGGAAAAATTCCATTTATATTTACAAAAAAAGAATTTAAATACATATGCACTGTGTTTAGACTTTATTTAGGTATTTTCTTCAAATAAATATGTCCTTCAATGGCTTCACTAAGCTAAAATCGAAGCTTAGTGAATAACAACCCCTTACAACATGTTGTGAGCAGTCAAAAGTAACTTAATATATTCTCATCACATATCTGAAGCCCCTTCAGTTATACTAACAACTACTTTCACCATCAACTCTGTCAATTTATATTTGCCTGCAATCATTAAAGTAGGCGTCGACACGTTTCGCTGTTTTACAAAGCGGGCACTAAACATCGCCAGTACATGTAGAGGCACCCCGCCTCCCGCACTTAGTTCTATGCTGGGTGACGGAGGGGAAGTGATGCCAGTCGTCAGAGCACGATGATAGTCGTAGAGTAAACTAGCCGAATGAATAGGTGTCAGAAGCAATGCGTCAGAGCGGCCCGCTGGGGGCGAGTCAGACGTGCCGCGTAACCGGACCCACTCGCATCATAATGCTACATAATTCAATTGATTCCCCGACACTACCCGCACGCTTCCTTCTAACTTCGTTTAGAACGTTTTGATATCGGATACGCCGCCGCTTTAACGCCTTCTTACAATTCTTTCCCCACTGACCCTTGGTAAAAATAAAACGTGCAAATTCAATTGACGATCTTGTATTTAACAAAATAAATAAGTAACAACATTTAGCTTCTTATGACTTAGTGGTGGTAAGATACGGCAGGGGAGGAGAAGGTCACGTGACCAAGGTTTTCAGCGTAAGCTACTTTGGCTACGGGAGCAGCGGCGTACGCAACCTTGGCGACGGGAGCTGCAGCGTACACTGGGGCGTGCTGGTAAGAGATTTGAGCGGGAGCCTGGGAGTAGGTCACCTGGGCGGGAGCGTGAGAGTGAGCATGAGCGTAGGTGACCTCAGCGGGGGCCTGGGCGTAGGTAACTTGAGCTGGGGCGTGAGCGTAGGTGACTTGAGCAGGAGCAGCGGAGTAGGCGACCTTGGCTACGGGGGCAGCGTATGCGAGCTTCGCTACGGGAGCAGCGTAGGCAATCTTGGCGACTGGAGCAGCGTAGGCGAGCTTGGCGACGGGAGCGGCATAGGTGACCTTAGCGACGGGAGCTGCGGCTACGACCTTGGTGACAGGGGCGTGAGCGTAGGCGACGGGAGCAGCGTAGGCGACCTTGGCAGGAGCCTGAGCGATGGGGGTGCCTTCATAACGGACAACAGCGTTGAATCCGTGCTCTTCATCGGCGGTGTAGTCGACGATACGGTGAACACCGTCAGGCTGCACGAGAGAGTATGAGCCGTGCACCGCGTCGCCAGAACGAGACTCCTGTTGTTGTTTCACATCTCCGCTTTGGTTGTCGTGGACGGAGTATGTGTATTCGTAGTGAGCGGGTGCTTCGGGCTGAGCGTATGCTTGCTGAGCGTATGCCAGCTTTGCGACGGGCACCACGGGGATGGCCACAGCGGTGGCGGCGGCCACGAGGGCGGAGAATGTCAGGAACTGTAAAATATAAACTCTGTTAAGTGACTAGATACCAAAATAAGTTATACAGAAATATAGGCCATTTACTACATGAACAATCACTATATCTTTGTACGACACAACTGGTTATGGCGACATCTATCCGCTGTCCTCCAAATTATATCGATAAATTAATATAATTAGTCTAGTTTAATGGCTGATGTTTATGACTTTGCAATCGGTTTACACAATCAACACATTTGAACTTACTCTAGCGGCCATGTTGTCTGGTTTGTTTATGGTTGACGAGTGTGCTACTGCTCGGTAGCAGAGAGCTTTTATACTAGACACATGTGTTGCGTATGCATATCAATACATACGTAGAGATTACATGTAAACAGGTGTACTTGCGCCTACCTTATGCCCGGCGGCGGTGTCAAAAACTGGATCGATGATAGCGACAAGATAAGGTTATGTAACATATTTCAAGTTCAATTACTTTGTTTACATATTGCTCGATATTAAATTATATCGATTGTTGGTTCAAGTACAGTAAGACACCTTTTCCTTATCTGTTTTTACCCCACAATTATTCTAATGTCTATAAGAGAACTTTATAATACAAACATATGTGTAGTGAAGTTTTAAAAAAAGTAAACTACGTTAAGTAAGTCGGATAGTTATACATACACAATGTATAAGTACTAGTAAATAATTTCATTCATGATTAGCTGATTCAATTGATTGAATTTCAATTTCGTTGTCTATATGCAAATCAACTTAATACAGTAATCAGTATCAATAAACTAACTGAAGTCACGAACATATTCTATGCGTTTATCTTTCTCATCTCTTGATATGAATCAATTTATGTTACACAAAGAGTTTTAATACTTGCAATTCTTCATATAAAGAAGTATTTAAATGATTTTTTTTTTCACTAGAAAACAAATCTGATTCCGATCACTATTGGAGCGTGATATTAAGGTATCACACAGGTTTTCTTTTAGAAAAGTGGACAACCGGATTTACAATTGGCGCTGATCGCTTACCACCAGGTGATGCGACTGCTCGTTTACCGCCAATTCCATAAAAAAATCGACGCTTCGAGACTACAGTACATAAAAGGAGATATACATACATTACATGGAGTGCCGAAAGTAAATTAGTATTTACACCTTCCTATATGGATCTGGAAAATTATTTGATATGCATAATATTTGAAAGAAAATATAAGAATAAATATGCTGTATAAAGAATACTGAAAGAAAACAGATTTATTTTCTACAAAGTCAATACAAGAGTCTGGTGATAAAAGACTCTAGGCTTTCGTTATTAAGTTGCAATTTCCTTTAACAATACCTATTGTCTCTTTATCGAGTCAATCTTATCTGCAAATCATATCTGACTGTAAGCATACTTTTCTTTGAGTCACCTTCAATCAAAAACACCGCAAGTATCAAAACTACACCATCCACTATCATACTCGGTCGTCATATAACTAATTAGGATTATCCACGGCGTACATTAGAGTGATACCTATCACTACATTATCTAACGGCTACTGGGAAACATGTACTTGATACAATAGAGAATATAAATCAACTATAAGTAGATCGCAGTTGATACAATTTCGGCTAATGTACTGTGGCTAACAGGTCATCCTATCCGTTTCTGTCAAAATTCTCTATTACATCTTAAACTTTATACTATTGACATAAAAGCTAAAATCCAATGAATAAATGTAGCAAATTAGAGTAGGTTTATCTGCTGGCCACTGTACATATTATGTAGTACGTTTAATTTTTTTACGTAATATTTAGTAATCAGTCGTTTCTGTTTTGCATTGGTATTAATCATTGTGTCAAATATTTTGATTGCTCTAACATTTTTCTAAATTAGGTTGTAAGTATTTTTGTGTTGTAGCTTGTTAATACTTTGTTATCAAGTAGTTTCAGGTAATTAGAGAGAAATGGTCATCTCTTATAAATCCTGATTCCGGGCTACTGAAGTACCTATATATAATCTTCAAATGTATTTTTGCTATATAAATACAAGATGGCTCGGTCGTCGTCGTTCAACGTGCATGCTGCTCATAATTATAAGCCCCCCTTATGGCTTGAAATTAGTCGAGTGTCATCTGATAGTCAGTCAATCATTTTCAAACTTACTGAGTAGTTGAGTTACCTCGCAGTTTATACTTATTTATATTAACATTGTACAATGTAACGCTCACATTTCACTATTTATGTTACGAGTCCCATGTAATAGGGGGTGAAGCTATTACTATATACCGGGCACAATTTCAGACTCCGTGATACTACTGAGATTTTTATTAAAAACGCAGTAATACCTTTCCGATCCGGGAATCGAACCCGAGACCCCTTACCAGGCAGTTGCACTGGCGACCACTCGTCCAACGAGGCAGTCGAGGCATGAATTATTCTGACGTCATAAATAATATTTATTACGATACGACGAATGTATCTCTTTGCTATTGAATATTAGTTAATTATAATATGCATTATCTAATAACGAAGACATGCAGTATCATGTCATCACATAACACATCACTGGACATTTTTTTTCTTTTAATAATTCTACTACATTCACTAAAGCAACTTGCGCAAATCTGACCTACATTTTACATGAATCACTCCGGAACGAATCAAAAGCCTTGTTCAAAAATGCATTGAAGAAAATAACAAGATCAATTAAGTACGGCATGACAATAATTTCCGGTAGTCAGTGTCACCGAAACCAGTATCGAATCTCTGACCTTGCTTTAAACGTGAGTTTAATTCTTGTATGCCATTGAATTTACGTTAATTACCGACCACATGTGATTTTTCCCACGAATACATTAGTTGACACTTATTGGGAATATTTTTATTGGTTTTTTAAAAGTTCTGTAGATTTTTAGGTTTTTAATTTATTTTTATGTTGAATATTTTTAATACTTCACCAGTACACGTCAACATTTCACTGAACTAATATAGGTATTTATATTGAAAATATTTACAATTTTTATAAAGGATTGGGATTTTTCATACTTTTTTAGTATATGGCCTGGTAAGTATTCTTTAATTGGACTCATAATATTTATTTTATAATAAAACGCATAAAATCGCTTTGTTTTACTGAAATAAGTATACCTTTTTTGCAAGGGGTAAATCATCCAATGACTTCTCCCGTCCGGCTGAGGCGAGAGGGAGTACCAGACTCTTAATGACTAAAAAAACCACCCCGTTCCTACTCCTGCACTGAAATAAGTATACCTACTTATTTATTTTAGACAGAAACACTAAATGATATTATCTTTTAAGTTCCACTGTGTATGAACCAAAATAAAATGATGCAAGAAACGGCTTCGATTATCCACTTACGGAACCCAAAACCGTAAGTGTAACAGCTGACACTAGAACAGGTTTAAGCAGCGTCATTAAGCATAGCTATTACTTACAAGTGATCGCTTATATTTTCCAAATTGCTAAACTATTTGCTTACGTAACATTTGAGCAATAAGTTTTGTTACACATTGGCCAAATTTTATTGTTCCTCCGGGGCATATATAGACAAAGCTGATAATTTGATCGATGTTTGTTGTCATTCGATACTTTTTATTGTTTGTCTTATGGTAACTACTGCCTTATTGTACTCGATACTCGATAAACTCGATTATCGAGTACATGGTGTCTTGGCATTGTTTGACTCGAATAAGTATTATTGAATAATTTGTTTTTTCTTACTTTTTACAAAGTGTATGGTCTGAAACTATGCTCATTTATCCTTTGGGGTAAAGCAATCACGTGTGTATAATGTAACTATGTTGTTCTAATTAATTTTCATCTTTTAGGAAAGTTAACCTTCAATATTTCACTGTAAAATAAAAATACGCATTATCATAAATACTGACTCATCATCATACATATCGTAGACTGCCTCGTTGGCCGAGTGGTCGCAAGTGCGTCTGCCGGGCAAGGGGTCTCGGGTTCGATTCCCGAGTCGGGCAAAGTATTACTGGGTTTTAAAAAAAAACTCCTCAGTAGTAGCACGGTGTCTGGAATTGTGCCCGATATATGGCAATAGACTCACCCGCTATTACATGGGACTTATAACATAAATAGTGAAAAGTGGGTGTTACATTGTACATTACATTGTTTTCTTTCTATTTACTAAAAATATAAAATGAAGTGATTTGAATATATTGTAAGAAAATCCAGTGCTTTAAATAGACATATCTGTAAAATTCGATAAGATCATAGCATAGCTTAGAATAAGAGAATAGTAGCTTGATTAAACTAATATGGTGTTTGGTTAATTTAGACGCCATTAACGATAATTAACAACAGTCGTTAAACAACGGAAGTACCTATTGGTCAAACGTGGTTGTCCTCTGTTAATTCTGTGACAGATTGTGTAACATTGACAAGCTAACTTATTTTTGGATTATAGCTATATGAACGGTATTTAATTTATAACTTAATTATAGCTTGTTTATACGGAAGTTTTCTGATTGTTAGCATGTGTACTTTAAGAAATTATACTAGTTGCACAGTATGTTGTACTTTTCTTTATGTTAACCATAGTTGCTATTTGCAATGTCACGCAAAGAGGCCTTTGGTTTCCTTGGCATCGAGCATTTCTTTCTTTATTGAAACAAAGAGTTTTCTTTTTCTTGTATAGAAGCACTATTTTTATGGATTGTCAGTATGCTTATGTGAGCACCATTTAGACTATAAGAATTTTATTTTTATTTTTAATTGTTCTCACATATAAGTAGGTACAATATTGGAATATGTATCAGAGACATTGTAGAACATACTTTTTTTAAAAAGAGTAACGAATTGACTTTTGTTACCTTTGGTACTTGACTTTGATTACTTGTTCCTGGGTTAATAAAAGACATATGTTTGTATTAATACTTGTTATAACTTCGGACTATAGAATTGTTCACTTTTAAATTTTTATTGTTGACGTTCAAAAGTGCCTTCCTGGTCTTCTGAAATAAATTACTTTGACTTTGTATTTCTGAGACAAATGATTCTCATAATAAATTGTCCCCACTTCGTATCGATCACAGGACGAATCATAAAAAACATTTACAATGATCGTTGCTTCCAGTCGAACAGTCAATTAGATAATCACATTAATTTGTACAACTTTAATCAGCATTAATTGACACCCTTCAACCGAGCAAACTAACTAAAGCCTTGTCAGAACTTAATGAGCCATTATACAGTAATTAGCCACGACAGAGTGGCCCTTAGCACACAATACCCCGCAATATTTCTATCTCCTAACATATCAATAAGTGCGGTCACGATGCAAACAGCTTCACGCTTGATGCCCAATCAATCAGAGATAAAGTACTTAACGTTACACATATTATAATGGTAACATTGGACCGGACCACACCCAAAACAATTTGGTCAAGGCCTTGGTCAACAGTCACCAAACTACTTTTAATTTCTCTAAACCACCCACCATAAACAGACCCACGTAACAACTTCTCAAATCCCGACTCTAGCTGTACTCGTAGAAAGCGAGAGGTCAAACTAAACTGGCGTCCACTTGTTTCTTCAAATATTTTAATGCATAGTTCGAAATTATTGTTGCAATTTGTGTTTTGTAGCAATTATTTTAGTGTCGTATTTAATTTATAATATTAGATTTATCTGTGCATTTAATTATGTAAACGGTAATTTACGCTCGTTCAATTTGCGTATGAATAAATAGTTTGTAATGTTGCATAATTAGCAATTAGGTGAATATGAGTAGAATGATATACAACGTTATAATAGTAGTAGTGTTCAACTATAAGCTATTCCTTTCTGAGTGAAAATGCTCGCCGGTATATGAAAAGGTCTCTCTCAATTTTTTTAATATTTTACAAATGATGCTAGTAATTTGACCTGCGACCTTAGAAGTGTACTCGTTCGAAATATGTTGTCTACTTGCGTCACCACGCTCCGCCCTAATTCATTGAACTAAGTTCCCTTTCTACTTTCAATGGCACACAAAAGCCTTCGTTCCTAGAATGATGAAATTTAATGTGAAATTGATACATTAAATTAGGTTAAGAGCAACTTTCCTTGCTACTATATCGAGTTTGGTAAGTCAACACAAAAACTGTTACTATCAAACTATAGCAAGTACAAAGAAGGACATATTAAAAATAGAAAAAAGGATAAATGTACTTATGTACAGTTACAGAATACGACGAGTCAAGTCAACTAGTGAACAATAACGACAATGTATATCAATTCAATAATTTAATGGCACTTAATCATTTAAATAAATAAAACAGTTCGTTCAATTAAATAACAATACATCTAGTGGTGATAAGAGATAGCTGGAGATGAGTAAGTGACATGAGCAACGGGGGCGGCGTAGGCAACCTTCGCGATGGGGGCAGCGTAGGCAACCTTGGCAACAGGGGCGGCGTATGCGATTTTGGCTACGGGAGCAGCGTAGGCGACCTTGGCTACGGGGGCGGCGTAGGCGAGCCTGGCGGGTTCGGCGTGGACGGGGGTGCCCTCGTAGCGCACGTTGGCGTTGAATCCGTGCTCCTTGTCGGCGGTGTACTCGACGATGCGGTGCACACCGTCGGGCTGTACAAGAGAGTACGAGCCGTGCACGGCGTCGCCTTGACGGGACTCCTGCTGCTGCTTCACGTCACCGCTGTGGTCATCATGCACGGAGTAGGAGAAGTCGTAGTGAGCGGGCGCCTCAGGCTCAGCGTACACCACCTTGCTAACGGGGACAAGGGGCACGGCGTAAGCCGCCACGGCGAGGGAGAGGATAACGATAACCTGGAATAAAATATTGTATGTGTTAAATAAGGAACGTATTAATTAAGGAACATGACTTTTAATATAAACCGCAGATAAGGTAAAACACGGCAACTTACCTTGGACACCATTTTGAAGTGTAGTTACTGATACAGATATCAATATTGAACTGTAACAACGTATGACTTGTTGCACTTTATATACGTCATATTTGTCACCTTCTTACATCTTTGGTGACATACTTTGGGCCCGGGGCACGACAGCCTAGCGCACAATGATTGAGAGGTGAAGGTCTGCTTACTACTCATGTGTTGCTTAACACTACACTTGTTTAGTGGGTAGTAATTTTTAAGTAAACACTGGTTAAGTAATATTACTGGAATCAGGAAAACACTAAAATAGCATAACTCTCAAGAGCAAGGTACATCTCTACGTCGTCCATCTAAATTAGCGATAAGTTTATAGTGTCGCACGCATACGTTGCATAGAACCAATATAATTGCATTATCCTCCAGTAAGTACCAAGTACCTAAGTTTTTCCTGTTTTGGATGTAACATTCAGTAGAACATACAAAGATAAAAACAAAGGAATGGAAGGAATCATCAGACAGATTAAATAAATACAGATACGAACGTTTAAGTTTAACATCAAGAAAGAGACCTGTTTTACAAACATCGACATCATAATTTCTTCGTATAACTCTATATTTTTTTCACTTTAATGCGATAACATAAACTCAATCCAGTAAGAGAATGTATGTGCATACTTTACGGTATTAACCTGTATGTCATTTATCGCATAGATCGATCGCGTGCGCAACCTTCACCTCTAAATAATAACGAACGCCCCAGGGCATACCGCATGTCACCAGTTGTATGTTCGTACTGAAGGCGTTCATATAAGTATAAAAAGTGCACCAGTTCACATATTGTCACAGTCAAGTATTGCACTCCAATACAACAACACCAATCTAACAATGGTCGCCAAAGTAAGTTAGAATACTGAAAACTAAAATTTTATTAAATATGGTCATAAAACATTACATTTGCAGTTATGTTAAACATTAATTTACCTCGTTACAGTTCGTCATCGTCCTGTCCCTCGCCGTGGTGGCTTACGCCGTGCCCCTTGTCCCCGTCAGCAAGGTGGTGTACGCCGAGCCTGAGGCGCCCGCTCACTACGATTTCTCATACTCCGTGCACGATGACCACAGCGGTGACGTGAAGCAGCAGCAGGAGTCTCGTCAAGGTGACGCCGTGCACGGCTCGTACTCTCTCGTGCAGCCCGACGGTGTGCACCGCATCGTCGAGTACACCGCTGACAAGGAGCACGGATTCAACGCCAACGTGCGCTACGAGGGCACCCCCGTCCACGCTGAACCCGCCAAGATCGCATACGCCGCCCCCGTAGCCAAGATCGCCTACGCCGCCCCTGTCGCCAAGGTCGCCTACGCCGCTCCCGTTGCCAAAGTAGCATACGCCCCAGCCGCAGTCTCATACTCCCACGCTCCAGTCTACGCTGCTCCTGTAGCCAAGGTCGCCTACGCCGCGCCTGTCGCCAAGGTGGCCTACGCTGCCCCCGTGGCTCACGTCACTTACTCTTCTCCAGCTATCTCCTACCACCACTAAACCAATACATTGTTATATTTGTTGAAATGAATAGGTATTATTAAATAATTATTTATTGACCTGATATTCTAATTTGTTTTCTTTGTCCTTTTCACTTACGCTTCATCACGCCCTTTAACCCCGATGGGGGAGGTAGAGGTACACATTACGGCACTTAATGTTTTCACTTACAGTCTTTATTTGTATGTATTTTAAACAAAAGCGGTGATGGACACCGAGAATAAGTGTTTAATTTTTGGAAGTTAATTGTTTTTTATTGGCTTTTAAAAACGTTGCGCCACACGAGGTTTTCCTCCCGTGTCGTGGGTGCATTTACAAACATACAAGTTCACAGACACATGACACCCAGACCCGAAACAACAATTTGTGGATAACACAGAGTTGCTCCGCGCGGTAATCGAATCCGATAAACGTTAAGTGGCAGCCAGCGGCGTTACCCAGACACCACGCCGGTGCAGTCCATTGACACACACATCCAAAATAAATATGAACTTTATATTAACGCATATATTTTGACACTAGTACATTCACACAGAGGCGATTCGAAACTCGATAATTTTTCAATGTGCAAAAAATTTATAATCGAACACATATACTCGACAACATCGAGTTCTTTCTGAATCACGATGCCAATGCAATGTATCTTCATTTAATCACAATGTTGTATGTAGATAAAAATAAAAAGTATAGCTAATAATAAGTATGAATAAAGTTTCATCAAAAATTACAACAATAACGTGAGGAACGGCATACCACTTAGGATTTTCTCTTCTGTCGTGCGGGGCTTAGGTGCTTTCAAAAGATAGAAATTCACGTAAACAATTATTATACATACGCTCCAGATGCTTAGAATAACATTATCATCGACCTCTTTCAACTTAAACAATTAGAAATATTTATTATGTTTTTCGGATTCTTTCATGTAATTATTCGACGAGAAACTCGACTAGTTTCAAACCATGCTAGAGGCTCATATTCATGAGCATGATTTTGCGACCCGCGATGCGGCGACTGTAGTTGTGTGAATGAGTCACCACATCGCGGGTCGCGGAATGCGGCTCATGTATGAGACTCTTTTAGTATGTATTTATTACAATTTAGTATGTCTCACGAAAGTTAAAATATAAACATGTAGAAATATTTCATTTTACACGATTCACAATCCTACTTCCGTCCTACAAGTAAAATCCGATAAAATCGTGTTAGTTACATGAAGTTGCATCACAAACATAAGATTCGAGAATGACTTCATTGATTTTAGTGGTATTTGATAATCTTTATCATAAATTATGAATTTACTTGTCACCTTTAATTCCCCGAAGTATTCGGGAATGCAAAGGAAGCGTGAGATTAGTCTAGTGAAGTTTAATACACTCGTTTGACACTAATTTATCTAATTCATGACTTAGAATTATTTGTAACACATAACATAACATAACATCACGCCTTTTATCTCCAAAGGGGTAGGCAGAGGTACACACAGAGGTAACACCGACTTTTCACTATTTATGTTATGAGTCCCATGTAATAGGGGGTGAGTCTATTGCCATATACCGGGCACAATTCCAGACTCCGTGCTACTACTGAGATTTTTTTTAAAAACCCAGTAATACTTTGCCCAACCCGGGAATCGAACCCGAGACCCTTTGCACGGCAGGCACACTTGCGACCACTCGGCCAACGAGGCAGTCGAGAGGCCAGAGAGCAGAGCAATTATTTGTAATTTGATCGAAAATCTAAGACACAGCCAAGACACAGCGCAGCGTAGGTACTCCATTGTCGCACCCGCGAGTCACGACCCAGTGCATCATCGAACTAAGCGAATTTACACATTTTGTACTATGCCAGTATACGATGGACTACAAAGAAAAGTCCTGATGAGTACGTTTAGATCGATATGTCAAACTTTAATTATTTCATTATAAAAACTTTATAGGTTACAAGATCTCTAAACTTTACGATTTATTGTTATTGTGAATCACTTTTGCTAAGAAAAATAAAAAAAACATTGAATGAGTTTAGACGACCGTGACCATGACCTGAATTCATTCATATAAATATACTTTTACTTTGTGGAAATTTGAACCTTAAGTACATGGTAGTGAATGTATCAAATAGGAAAACTGTAGGAGAAATCATTGTTATGATGTTACTGTTGCATATACAGATCCATTGTCCACCTACACGAGTGCTTTCCCAGTCCTTTGTGTAAGTCGTTGCCATAATGTTGACTTTTACCAGGCAGGTTAGATATAGCAGTTTAATTTACTAAACGAAATACAGTAAATAAGAATGAGAAACGAAAGTAAATGAAAATAAAATATGTATTTAGAAAAAGAATGAGACTTACTGAGAAAAATTTCGACTAAGAATTACATTCTGAGTATGAAATAATGTAATGACTAGTAATTATTATTTTATGCTTTCCCTATCACGTATGAAATTGCTTGATAGGTGGTTGGTTTACATCGTGAAGTTCGGGTTAGCAATGCGACATGTCGACCTTCACCTCTCAATCAATGCAAGGAATGCCGCGGGCGCACCGTGTGTCACCTGCAAGACCTAGAAGCAACAATCTGTATAAAACTGTAGCATATCACACACATTGTACTGACAACTAAATCAGCAACACTGTAAAAATGGTCGCCAAAGTAAGTTTCATTCAATATAAACCTTTAAAATAAACTGAACAACTTACTTGAAGTTTAATTAACGAAAGTGTTATATGTGTTGAAAATGAAATCATAAATTAATCAATATTACAAATTCAGTTCGTCATCGTCCTGTCTCTCGCCGTGGCGGCTTACGCCGTGCCCCTTGTCCCCATCAGCAAGGTGGTGTACGCCGAGCCTGAGGCGCCCGCTCACTACGATTTCTCATACTCCGTGCACGATGACCACAGCGGTGATGTGAAGCAGCAGCAGGAGTCTCGTCAAGGCGACGCCGTGCACGGCTCGTACTCTCTTGTGCAGCCCGACGGTGTGCACCGCATCGTCGAGTACACCGCCGACAAGGAGCACGGATTCAACGCCAACGTGCGCTACGAGGGCACCCCCGTCCACGCTGAACCCGCCAAGATCGCATACGCCGCCCCCGTCGCCAAGGTCGCCTACGCCGCCCCTGTAGCTAAGGTCGCCTACGCCGCTCCCGTTGCCAAAGTAGCGTACGCCCCAGCCGCCGTCTCTTACTCCCACGCTCCAGTCTACGCCGCTCCCGTCGCCAAAGTCGCCTACGCTGCTCCCGTAGCTCATGTGACTTACTCCTCTCCCGCCATCTCTTACCACCACTAAACCTTTAAAGACTGTTGTATTTATTGAAATGAATAGGAACTAATAAATTATTGTTGAGCTCGATGAGACACTTTTATTGTTTAACCTCCTATTGCCATTTTAAACCTAGTAAACAATTTGTTTTAGCAAAGATGACATTTTTCATTTTATATTTACGTTTAGGTATGAATGACAAAACAATAAAAAATACACATTATCTTTACTTAACAAAAATGAATGAACCTCGTAAAAAATACATAGAAGTTACTGAGTTTATAAACCTACATTTTTTTTTAATTTCGATTATACCTTATAGTCAATTGTCAAACTAACTTAAAGTTTATATTATGAGTTTCGTGAGACATACCAAATTAATTTATTAGTAGCAGCGCCACAGTCGCCGCGTGGCGGGTCACGGAACGCTGCTCATGAGTATAAGCCTCTGGCATGGCTTGAAAGAAGTCGGGTTCCTCGTCAAACAGTTACGTGAGTAAGCCGAAAACATAATAACTAATTGAACAGAAAGTTTATAAAATATTCAAATACCTGTATTTCATTACATGTGTTGGAATTCAATAAAGTTTGAAATCATTCTCCTCAGTCAGTCGGACATATTGAATCCTAAGAACAATCATCAACAGCCTATAAGTGCCCACTGCTGAGCAAAGCTTCTTCTCACACGGAGAAGGTTTGAGCATTAATCACCACGCTTGCTCAATGCGGGTTGGCGATTTCAAACTTATAATTAGAAATTATAAGTCCAGGTTCCCATCACGATGTTTTCCTTCACCGTTTGTCAGTGGTGTCTAAATAATCTTAGAAAGTACATATAACTCGGAAAAAGTCGCAGTAAACTCTAAGGTTGACTGGTAGAGAATGCCATATGGCATTAAGTTCGCCTTATGTGACATAAAAAATTATGTACATTAAAGAATAAATAAATAAATAATGGGTACTAGCCGTTGGTACCAGCCGTTGGTAAGTTTCGAACCGGCACCCTCATTCATGAGAAGCGGGCGTCTTAAACCTCCGAGCCACCACGACATGAACCCTAAGAACATACGTAGAAAAAAATCCATACTGATATTATGAAGAGACAGGGTTTAACTGTTTTTTTTTTGTGTTAAAGAACGTGTTTTACCATAAGAAAGTTCACATTTCAAAAAATAAAATGGGACACTTTTTGCTGATATTCCACAGAATCAGGGCTTAGTTGAGAAAAATCTAAATTCCATGACGGTGAAGCAACAGGCAGAAAGCTAGAAAGTATCTTTTATAAACATACAAAATTAAATAAAAATTACGGGTTACCCACAAAAATATACTGAGTAAAGCTCTACTAGTTTCAAATCACAAAGGGACTCTTCCTCGTGAGCAGCGTGCGCCATTGCGATGATGTCGCCAAATTTTTAGTGTAGCTAGAAAGTACTATTATAAGAACGAAAGTAAAGTATTATTGCTTACTAATGCGAAACCGATGAACCGACATTAAGTTTAACCAAAGATAGGCGACCTCGGTGACAGTGTAATAAACTACTTAGCGAAACTTCCATATTATAATTAACTAGCCATCCACGCAGTTTCACCTGCTTTGCTCGACGCCTGTTGATTCCAGCGTGATGTTTTACAGCCTTTAGCCTTCCTCGATAAACGCACTATCCAACACAAAAATTAATAGTCAAATCGGGCCAGTAGTTTCCAAGATTAGCGCGTTCAAACGAACAAACTCTTCTGCTTTATATAATGAAATAAAAAAGTATAAAGTAAAGATATAAGATGATAGTAAATTCAACTTAACTACAAGGTTTACAAACACCACATGCATTGCTAATGCGTTAATAGCGATCAAGAAAAATTTGTGTTTTTAAAAAAAATTCAAGCCTCACGTTAATGGATAACTACAATTAAAACTACTTTGACGAATTCAGACTATTAATGTCATTACGAGATTTGTATGAAATAAAAAAATCAAAGTAATCGGGTTCACAAAGAACATCGTAACACATCAACTGTGCTCAAACTGATTTTTTCATTAATATAAGGGTACACTTGCAAAAATTGGCAAAATATAAATAAACGTTATTTGTATCTGTTGGAATGAAGAAAGTTTATTATAAGTGCCTATGACTCTATCTATATTACTAAATTACGATCACATTCGACCACAGGACATTCAACAGGTGGTTAAATTGTTGTCACGCGTGAAGTTCGGCTCAGCTATGCAGCGTGGCGACCTTCACCTCTCAATCACAGTGACCAACGCCGCGGGCGCACCGCGTGGCACCTAGTAGACTTACAGGCGACGAACCTGTATAAAACTGCAGCAAGCACTCACATTGTCACAGTCGAATACTGACATTCAAAACAGTAGCACGATAGCAAGCTATCTAATTTAACAAAAATGGTTGCCAAAGTAAGTTATTTAAGTCAATAAAATGGCAACAAAAACGTTCGTACAATACCTAGTACCTACTGAAATACTAATTAAATTTATTTTTATTACAGTTCGTGATTGTCCTCTCCCTCGCCGTAGCGGCTTACGCCGTGCCCCTTGTCCCCGTCAGCAAGGTGGTGTACGCTGAGCCTGAGGCGCCCGCTCACTACGACTTCTCATACTCCGTGCACGATGACCACAGCGGTGACGTGAAGCAGCAGCAGGAGTCTCGTCAAGGCGACGCCGTGCACGGCTCGTACTCTCTTGTGCAGCCCGACGGTGTGCACCGCATCGTCGAGTACACCGCCGACAAGGAGCACGGATTCAACGCCAACGTGCGCTACGAGGGCACCCCCGTCCACGCTGAACCCGCCAAGATCGCATACGCCGCCCCCGTCGCCAAGATCGCCTACGCCGCCCCTGTAGCTAAGGTCGCCTACGCCGCTCCCGTTGCCAAAGTAGCGTACGCCCCAGCCGCCGTCTCTTACTCCCACGCTCCAGTCTACGCCGCTCCCGTCGCCAAAGTCGCCTACGCTGCTCCCGTAGCTCATGTGACTTACTCCTCTCCCGCCATCTCTTACCACCACTAAACCTTTAAAGACTGTTGTATTTATTGAAATGAATAGGTACTAATAAATTATTGTTGGACTCGATGAGACACTTTTATTATTTAATCTCCTATTGCCATTTTAAACCTAGTAAACAATTTGTTTTAGCAAAGATGACATTTCTCATTTAATATTTATGTTTAGGTATGAATGACAATATTTTTTTTCACTATTACTCTAATGTGACTGCTGGGCATTTTTGGTTTTTGTTATTGTCTCACCAAAAAAATAAAAAAATACACATTATCTTTACTTAATCATTAATTAACAAAAATGAATGAACCTCATAACAACACAACTATAAAAGTTACTTAGTTTATATTATAAACTTGCATTTTTTGAGAATTTCGATCATACCTTACCGTCAAACTAACTTAAAGTTTATATTATGACTTTCGTGAGACGTACTAAATTAATTTATTAGTAGCAGCACCACAGTCGCCGCGTGGCGGCTCACGGAATGCTGCTCATGAATATGAGCCTCTAGCATGGCTTGAAAGTAGTCGGGTTCCTCGTCAAACAGTTACGTGATTAAGCCAAAAACATAATAATTAATTGAACAGAAAATTAATGAAAAATTCAAAAACCTGTATTTCATTAGGTACGTACACATGTACATACATGTGTTGGAATTCACTAAAGTTTAAGATCATTCTCCACAGGCAGTCAGACATATTGAATCCTAAGAACATAAGTATTATGAAGAGGAAGGGTTAATTGTTTTTTTTTGGGTTAAAGAATTTGTTTTACCATAAGAAAGTTCACATTTCAAGGAGTAAATTAGGACACATTTTTAGCTGATATTCCACAGAATCAGGGCTTAGTTAGAGAAAAATCTAAATTCTATGAGGGTAAACCAGCAGGCAGAAAGCTATAAAGTATGTTTCAAAAGCATACAAAATGAAATAGAAATTACGGGTTATCCACATAAATATACTGAGAAAAGCTCTACTAGTTTCGAGTCACAGAGGGACTCTTCCTCATGAGCAGCGTGTGCGGTCGCGGCGATGTCGCGGAATTTTTAGTTAAGCTAGATTTATTTAGTATTTATTTATTTATTTAGTAAAGTATAACAATACTTTACTACTTACTAATACGAAACCGATGAATCGATATTAAGATTGACCAAGACGACCTCAATGGTCCTCAACTACTTAGCCAAACTTCCATATTATAATTAACTAGCCATCCACGCAGTTTCACCTGCTCTGCTCGACGCCTGTTGATTGCAGCGTAATATTTTATAGCCTATATAGCCTTCCTCATTAACGCACTATCCAACACAAACATATTTATTCAAATCGAGCCAGTAGTTCAGAAGATTAGCGCGTTCAAACGAACAAACTCTTATGCTTCATATAACGAAATAAAAAAAGTATAAAGTAAAGATATAAGATGATAGTAAATTCAACTTATAAGGTTTACAAACACCACAAGAATTGCAAATGCGTTAATAGAGATCAAGAAAAATTTGTGTTTAAAAAAAAATTCAAGCCTCACGTTAATGGATAACTACAATTAAAACTACTTTGACGTATTCAGACTATTAATGTCATTACGAGATTTGTATGAAATAAAAAAGTCAAAGTAATCGGGTTCACAAAGAACATCGTAACACATCAAATAGGCTTACTGATTTTTTATGAATCTATGGGTTAAACTGATTTTTTATTAATATAAGGGTGCACTTGCAAAAATTGGCAAAATATAAATAAACGTTATTTGTATCTGTTGGAATGAAGAAAGTTTATTATAAGTGCCTATGACTCTATCTATATTAATAAATTACGATCACATTCGACCACAGGACTTCGACAGGTGGTTAAATTGTTGTCACGCGTGAAGTTCGGCTCAGCTATGCAGCGTTGCGTCCTTCACCTCTCAATCACAGTGACCAACGCCGCGGGCGCACCGCGTGGCACCTAGTAGACTTACAGGCGACGAACCTGTATAAAACTGCAGCAAGCACTCACATTGTCACAGTCGAATACTGACATTCAAAACAGCAGCACGATAGCAAGCTATCTAATTTAACAAAAATGGTTGCCAAAGTAAGTTACTAAAGTCAATAAAATGGCAAAAAATAGTTCGTACAATACCTAGTGCCTACTAAAATACTAATTAAATTTATTTTTATTACAGTTCGTCATTGTCCTCTCCCTCGCCGTTGTGGCTTACGCCGTGCCCCTTGTCCCCGTCAGCAAGGTGGTGTACGCTGAGCCTGAGGCGCCCGCTCACTACGACTTCTCCTACTCCGTGCACGATGACCACAGCGGTGACGTGAAGCAGCAGCAGGAGGCCCGTCAAGGCGACGCCGTACACGGCTCGTACTCTCTCGTGCAGCCCGACGGTGTGCACCGCATCGTCGAGTACACCGCCGACAAGGAACACGGATTCAACGCCAACGTGCGTTACGAGGGCACCCCCGTCCACGCCGAACCCGCCAAGATCGCATACGCCGCCCCCGTCGCCAAGGTCGCCTACGCCGCTCCCGTAGCTCATGTGACTTACTCCTCTCCCGCCATCTCTTACCACCACTAAACCTTTAAAGACTGTTGTATTTATTGAAATGAATAGGTACTAATAAATTATTGTTCAACTCGATGAGACACTTTTATTATTTAACTTCCTATTGCCATTTTAAACCTAGTAAACAATTTGTTTTGGTTTGTCTTACCAAAAAATACACATTATCTTTACTTAATCATTAATTAACAAAAATGAATGAACCTCATAAAAAACATATCTATAAAAGTTACTGAGTTTATAAACCTGCATTTTTTATGAATTTCGATCATACCTTACCGTCAAACTAACTTAAAATTTATATTATGACTTTCGTGAGACGTACTAAATTAGTTATTAGTAGCCGCGTGACGGATCACGGAACGCTGCTCATGAATATGAGGCTCTGGCATGACTTGAAAATAGTCGGGTTCCTCGTCAAACAGTTACATGAGTAAGCCGAAAACATAATAATTAATTGAACAGAAAGTTAATGAAATATTCAAAAACCTGTATTATATTACATGTGTTGGAATTCACTAAAGTTTAAGATCATTCTCCACAGCAGTCGGACACATTTAAGAAGTAAAATGGGATACATTTTTAGCTGATATTCCACAGAATCAGGGCTCAGTTGAGAAAAATCTAAATTCCATGAGGGTGAAGCAGCAGGCAGAAAGATTCTTTTTTTTAGGGGGAAAATCATCTAATCGTATCGGCATCAGACCACCCCATCTGTGGTGGTCTGATGGCTCCTTGAGTCGCGCGCTGAATGCGCCGTACGCTCGGGTCCTATTCTGGTCGGGTCAAACATACAAAATTAACAAAAAATTACGGGTTACTCAAGTAAATATACTGAGAAAAGCTCTACTAGTTTCGAGGCACAGAGGGACTCTTCCTCGTGAGGAGCGTGTGCGGTTGCGATGATGTCCCGAAATTTTTAGTATAGCTAGAAAGTACTATTATAAGAACAAATGTAAAGTATTGCTCACTAATGCGAAACCGATGAACCGATATTAAGTTAAACCAAAGATAGACGACCTCAATGATAGCGTAATCAATTACTTAGCGAAACTTCCATATTATAATTAACTAGCCATCCACGCAGTTTCACCTGCTTTGCTCGACGCCTGTTGATTGCAGCGTGGTGCTTTATAGATTATAGCCTTCCTCGATAAACGGACTATCCAACACAAAAATTATTAGTCTAATCGGGCCAGTAGTTTCCAAGATTAGCGCGTTCAAACGAACAAACTCTTCTGCTTCATATAATGAATTAAAAAAGTATAAAGTAAAGATATAAGATTATCATCTTAACAGAAGCGATGCTGGACACGTTTAATGCTATACAGAGAAAGCGAATCGCTGGATTCTTGTCTAGAGTTGGCACTTGCACAAACAGTATCATCAAGGAGTTACACAACCGATTGTATGCCACGTCTGTATATAAAAAATGGATGCAAATTGCAGCGTAATGCTGTTCATGTTATTAATGTTGTTATTGTGTTTTAGTTTATGATAAATTGGTTTTATTTTTTGTTTGTCTCTTTCTTATTTTTTTTTTTTTCTAGATAATATAAGTATGTGCTGGTTTTTTTTTTTTTGTTCCTAGTAGTATAAGATATGGAATGTACAATTCCGAAATAAAGAATTTATTATTATTATTATATATTATTATTATTAACAATTCAACTTACAAGGTTTACAAACACCACAAGAATTGCAAATGCGTTTGTGGCGACGCATGCCACATGTCAACGGATGACGTCACAATAATCCTACATCGCACATGCAAAGTTTACAAGTGAATAAACACGGATAGAAAATCCCAACGAACAACTGTTGGGCAGAAAGCCCGCCAGGCACGATCACCTCGCCTGGTCGGAGGATCCTCCTTTTCCGATCTTAGGGAACTATACTCTCTGTTCCCTAAACGTTAAAAGCGATCAAGAAAAAATTATGTTTTAAAAAAAAAGCCTCACATTAATGGATGACTACAATTAAACTACTTTGACGTATTCAGACTATTATTTAGACTATAGACAGACAGACATTACGAGATTTGTATGAAATAAAAAAGTCAAAGTAATCGGGTTCACAAAGAACATCGTAACACATCAACTGTGCTCAAACTGATTTTTCATTAATATAAGGGTGCACTTGCAAAACTTTGCAAAATATTAATAAACGTTATTTGTATCTGTTGAAATGAAGAAAGTTTATTATAAGTGCCTATGACTCTATCTATATTAATAAATTACGATAACATTCGACCACAGGACTTCGACAGGTGGTTAAATTGTTGTCACGCGTGAAGTTCGGCTCAGCTATGCAGCGTAGCGACCTTCACCTCTCAATCACAGTGACCAACGCCGCGGGCACACCGCGTGGCACCTAGTAGACTTACAGGCGACGAATCTGTATAAAACTGCAGCAAGCACTCACATTGTCACAGTCGAATACTGACATACGAAACAGTAGCACGATAGCAAGCTATCTAATTTAACAAAAATGGTTGCCAAAGTAAGTTACTAAAGTCAATCAAATGGCAAAAAATAGTTCGTACAATACCTAGTACCTACTAAAATACTAATTAAATTTATTTTTATTACAGTTCGTGATTGTCCTCTCCCTCGCCGTTGTGGCTTACGCCGTGCCCCTTGTCCCCGTCAGCAAGGTGGTGTACGCTGAGCCTGAGGCGCCCGCTCACTACGACTTCTCCTACTCCGTGCACGATGACCACAGCGGTGACGTGAAGCAGCAGCAGGAGGCCCGTCAAGGCGACGCCGTACACGGCTCGTACTCTCTCGTGCAGCCCGACGGTGTGCACCGCATCGTCGAGTACACCGCCGACAAGGAGCACGGATTCAACGCCAACGTACGCTACGAGGGCACCCCCGTCCACGCTGAACCCGCAAAGATCGCCTACGCTGCCCCCGTCGCCAAGATTGCCTACGCTGCTCCCATTGCCAAAGTAGCGTACGCCCCAGCCGCCGTCTCTTACTCCCACGCTCCAGTCTACGCCGCCCCAGTCGCCAAGGTCGCCTACGCTGCTCCCGTAGCTCATGTGACTTACTCCTCTCCCGCCATCTCTTACCACCACTAAAGACTGTTGTATTTATTGAAATGAATAGGTACTAATAAATTATTGTTCAACTCGATGAGACACTTTTATTGTTTAATTCCCTGTTGCCATTTTAAACCTAGTAAACAATTTGTTTTAACAAAGATGACATATTTCGATTTATGTTTAGGTATGAATGATAATAAAATCTTTTCACCATCACTTTAATGTAACTGCCGGACATTTTTGGTTTTGGTTTTGCCTGGTATTGCCTCACCCCTTGTTATGTTCTGAAAAAGACAAGGAAAGTTGTAATATTATTATGTTAATATTTCTTTATAAGAATATCTATCCATTATCTATATGGTCAAATTAAAGAAAGTATAAATGATGGCAATTTGTACTGCAGATTTACCATATTCTTGGTAGGACCGAGTCAAAATAAACGACAGCCGATCATAATCGTCCGTTGCAAATAGTATCTTGTTCAATAGCGGAAAGTACGCAGCACCCTCTGTTACGTATTACCAAAGAAAAAAGTAGAAAATTATACAATATCTTTACTTAATATCTAATTAACAAAATTTAATGAAAGGTTCATTCATACTGCCTCGTTGGCCGAGTGGTCGCAAGTGTGACTGCCGGGTAAGGGGTCTCGGGTTCGATTCCCGGGTCGGGCAAAGTATTACTGGGTTTTTAAAAAAAATCTCAGTAGTAGCACGGAGTCTGGAAATGTGCCCGGTATATGGCAATAGGCTCACCCCCTATTACATGGGACTCTTAACATAAATAGTGAAAAGTGGGTGTTACATTGTACAGTGGCATTAAGTGCCGTAATGTGCACCTCTGCCTACCCCTTCGGGGATAAAAGGCGTGATGTTATGTTATGATGTTATGTTATGTTCATTCATAAAAAATATATAGAAGTTACTGAGATAAATCTGCAGTTTTTGTGAATTTCAATTATACCTTTTTTTTGAGACGGGAATATCATCCAATGACTTCTGCCGCCTCGGGTAAGGCGAGAGGCAGTGTCAGACTCGTACTGACTAAAAACTACCCCGTTCCTACTCCTGCTCTTCGAGCTGGAGCAACCCCGGCAACCCGTTGGGCCTTCCGCGGTCAAACTAACTTTAAATTAATGAAATATTCAAAAACCTGCATTTCATTAAATGTGTTGGATTTATTCATTCATTGACAAAAGTTTAAGATTATTCTCCACAGGCAGTCGGACATATTGAATCCTAAGTACAAAACAAAAAAAAAATCCATACTGATATAATGTTCTTATGTGCGTTGAATGATTTGTTTTACGATAACTGCAGATTTTTAAAACATAAATGTTTCTTCATCGATATTAATACATTTGCAATTCTTGTGGTGTTTGTAAACCTTGTATGTTGAATTTGCCATCATCTTATATTTATATCTTTACTTTGTACTTTTTTTATTTCATTATACATATGAAGCAGAAGAGTTTGTTCGTTTGAACGCGCTAATATTGGAAACTACTGGCCCGATTTAAATAATATTTTTTGTGTTGGATAGTGCGTTTTCGAGGAAGGCTATAGGCTTTAAAACATCACGCTTCGATCAACAGGTGAAACCGTGCGGAAGTAGCTAATTGATTACAATATGGAAGTTTCGCTAAGTAGGTAGTTAATTACGGTCACTGTGGTCGTCTATCTTTGGTTAAACTTAATATCAGTTTATTGGTTTTGCGTCAGTCAGCAACAATACTTTACTTTTGTTCTTATAATAGTACTTTCTAGCTATACTAAAAATTCCGCGACAGGAAGAATCCCTCTGTGACTCGAAACTAGTAGAGCTGTTCTCAGTATAGAGGTATTTACATGAGTAACTCGCAATTTTTAGTTATTTTTGTATGTCTTACGATAGCTAATATAAAAACATACTTTCTAGCTTTCTGCCTACCGCTTCATCATCGTGGAATTTAGATTTTTCTCAAGTAAGCCCTGTTTCTGTGTAATATCAGTTAAAAATGCTTAAATGGATAACTACTATTACAAAACAAACTACTAAAAAGTCAAAGTAATCGGATTCACAAAGCACATCGTAACACTTCGGCGTAACTGTGCTTAAACTATTTTTTTATTAATATAAGGGTGCACTTGCAAAAATTGCCAAAATATAAATAAACTTTATTTGTATTCGTTGGAATGAAGAAAGTTTATTATACACATTCGACCACAGGACTTCGACAGGTGGTTAAATTGTTGTCACGCGTGAAGTTCGGCTCAGCTATGCAGCGTAGCGACCTTCACCTCTCAATCACAGTGACCAACGCCGCAGGCGCACCGCGTGGCACCTAGTTGACTTACAGGCGACGAACCTGTATAAAACTGCAGCAAGCACTCACATTGTCACAGTCGAATACTGACATTCAAAACAGTAGCACGATAGCAAGCTATCTAATTAAACAAAAATGGTTGCCAAAGTAAGTTACTTAAGTCAACAAAATGACACCAAAAACATTCATACAATACCTAGTACCTACTGAAATACTAATTCAATTTCTTTTCGTTACAGTTCGTTATTGTCCTCTCCCTCGCCGTGGCGGCTTACGCCGTGCCCCTTGTCCCCGTCAGCAAGGTGGTGTACGCTGAGCCTGAGGCGCCCGCTCACTACGATTTCTCGTACTCCGTGCACGATGACCACAGCGGTGACGTGAAGCAGCAGCAGGAGTCCCGTCAAGGCGACGCCGTGCACGGCTCGTACTCTCTCGTGCAGCCCGACGGTGTGCACCGCATCGTCGAGTACACCGCCGACAAGGAGCACGGATTCAACGCCAACGTACGCTACGAGGGCACCCCCGTCCACGCCGAACCCGCCAAGATCGCATACGCCGCCCCCGTCGCCAAGATCGCCTACGCCGCTCCCGTAGCCAAGGTCGCCTATGCCGCTCCCGTTGCCAAAGTAGCCTACGCCCCAGCTGCAGTCTCATACTCCCACGCTCCGGTCTACGCCGCCCCCGTCGCTAAGGTCGCCTACGCTGCCCCTGTTGCCAAAGTTGCCTACGCTGCTCCTGTAGCTCACGTCACTTACTCCTCTCCCGCCATCTCTTACCACCACTAAGGCGTATTGTTATTGTTAAACAAACAACTGTTGCGCTTAAAGATTAATTTAAGAACGTCATTAAATTATTATATTATTACCAATTGAAATTTTGTATTTTCTTCATATTTATTACCTCTATATCACTTTAATGACACACCTTACGATTTTAGACGTCTGTATCCTGGATTAGTTCAATTTTCTACTAATCAAGTTATCAAATATTTATTGCATCTTTAACATACAAAACGATTTTGTATATGAACAAACCAAGGTTTGTTCTAGTTCACTAGTGAATTAATAAACTAGAACGTTGACGAAAAACAGATATTATGTTGAGTAAAGAATGTAAATGAAACAAAAGAGGTAAGATGTATGTCAGAATTGCCTATCCATTATCTCTGCCAGACCTTATAAATAAATTGCGTAAGAGCAGATATATTCCATCATTATAAAAAGGTGTGATATTTTGATTCATACATACTAATATGTATAACTGTTTGTCTCTGTGTCTGTCTCTTCTTCATGCCTAAGGCACGTAACCGATTTGCATGTTTGGTCCAAGTATAATTAAGGTACTTAAGATAATTTTTATCTCGGAAATCTCAAGGGAACGGTTTCTATGCGTGAATATCCCGGGACACTATCTAATAACATGACTAGTTCAAAATGTGTATTTCACTAAAGTCGTGAATTTAAAAACAGGATCTGTTTTAATAATTATTATGTACTTTATATTTTTTTTAATTTACACAGTAAATAATATAAAAAGTGAACAGATTGACAGATGGACAGATCATTAGATACTTTTTATCACTTATCACAAACGCTATCGAAGCCGAAATGTAAATGTGAAAAAGCGATCTATTCTCTTTGCTTTACTCCACCCACGAATCAAAAGCCATACTGCTTCTCGATAAGGACTCTTATACCCTAATCACCATTCATCTAACAAGGTAATTATTGCTATCAATATTGCTATTTAAGTGTGGGAGAGCCATGCTTCGGCATGAATGGGCCGGCTCGACCGAAGTGATACCACGGCGTCAGAGAAGACCGACGTGAAACAACGTTGTATTGTGTTTCGTCGTGTGAGTGAGGTTACCGGATGCCCAATTACCCTACTCCCGTTTCCCCAATCCCTGAATCCCCAACAATCCTCAAATTCCTAATCCCAAAAAGCCGGTAACGCACTTGTAACGCGTCTGGTGTTCCAGGTGTCCATAGGCGACGCCGATTGCTTACCATCAGGTGATCCGTCTGGCCTTTTACCGATTTATCCTATAAAAAAATCAATACATTTCACGGATTTCCTCGTCGATCAGTGACCGACATACATAATATACATACTGCAAAAATTACGCTTTACGAATAATTTTCATAAAATTAAATGTATGCACCTATAATCAGAAGGTCGTGAACTTGACTCACAACCAGTTTTTTGCGGAAATATTACATGAAAACAACTTGTAGTCAAAGAGTTTATATCTTGCTATGTTTTTAAGAATCAAGTAAAAGTAATTCAATGCGAATGTTGATGATGTAATATAAACACAACAAAAATCACCTGTCTGTTTGAAACTGTGTGATAATTATGATCAGTATACCTACATTTACAAGTATGGGAGAGCCATGCTTCGGCACGAATGGACCGGTTCGACCGGAGTGATACCACGGCCTCACAGAAAAGTGACGTGAAACAACGCTTCCGTTGTGTTCCCCGAATTCTCTACAATCCTCAAATTCCTAATTCCCAAAAGGCCAGTAACGCACTTGTAACGCCTTGGTGTTTTAGGTGTCCATAGGCGGCGCCGATTGCTTACCATTAGGTGATTCGTCTGGCCGTTTAACGGATTATGCCATAAAAATAATATTTTATTGTACTTAGATCTTTTTAGGAAGTACCGTAGATTGACTGTAGCTAGATCAAGCACTCACTCCCCACTCACCCCTGAATGATGTTTTGT